ACGGACACAATTTGGGTTTGATAAACGATGGATTGGTTGCGATGGCTTTATGGACTCAATTTCAAAGGGATGGGACATACCCCTGTCAGGACGCAATGGGGCAGTGGTGAAAAAACTCATTAATTGTCGCCGAGAAATCTCCAAATGGAGGAAAAGTACTTTACCATTTGGTAAAGAAAAAAAAAATAATCTCCAAAAGGACCTAGAGAAACTACAAAATGATGATAGCCGAACAGAGGAGGAATTAACTGAAGTAATAAAAAAAATAAAGGAGGCATATCGAGAAGAAAACATATATTGGCAGCAAAAAAGTAGAAACCAATGGGCAAAAGTAGGGGATAGAAACACAAAATTTTATCACGCGCAGGTTAAACAGCGACGGGCAGCAAACAGGATAATTGGTCTCTACAATGATGGAGGAGATTGGGTTTTAACAGAAAAAGGGGTTGAGCAAATTGCGGTTGAATATTTTGAACGATTATTTACTACGACTAATCCGACGGATTTTGATCAGGCTCTCCAGGAAATTACACCAATGATCACGGAACAAAACAATGAAATGCTAACAGCAAAGGCTACAGAGGAGGAAGTAAAAGCAGCAGTTTTTATGATGAATCCAGAGAAAGCGCCAGGTCCAAATGGAATGACAGCACTTTTTTTTCAAAAGGCCTGGCACATAGTAAAGGCGGATATAGTACATTTGGTTAATGAATTTCTAGAGACGGGGAGTTTTGACAAGAGGTTGAATGTGACAAACATATGTCTAATCCCAAAAAAGGAGCGACCTACGCGGATGACAGAATTGCGACCCATAAGCTTGTGCAATGTCAGCTACAAAATTATCTCAAAGGTTTTATGCCAAAGACTTAAGAGATTGTTGCCTAAGGTTATCTCGGAAACACAATCGGCTTTTGTGGCGGGGCGTTTGATCTCAGATAATATCTTGATAGCGCAGGAGATGTTCCATGGTTTACGAACCAATAGCTCATGTAAAGGAAAATATATGGCAATAAAAACAGATATGAGTAAGGCGTATGATAGGGTTGAGTGGTCATTCGTTGAGAATGTGCTGAGGAAAATGGGCTTCGGGGAGAAATGGATTACTTGGATGATGTGGTGTACTACTTCGGTACAATATAAGGTCCTTCTGAATGGTCAACCTAGACGTCAGATACAACCACAAAGGGGATTACGCCAGGGTGATCCGCTATCTCCTTATGTTTTCATCCTTTGCACGGAAGTTTTAATCTCAAATATAAAAAAAGCAGAAATGGACAAAACTCTAACCAGATTAAAAATAGCAAGAGCAAGCCCAGCTATTACACATCTACTGTTTGTGGATGATAGTTTATTTTTCTGCAAAGCAAATACGGAAGAATGCCAAAAAATTCTACAAATACTTAAACAGTATGAATCGGTTTCTGGAAAACAGATAAACTTTAAAAAATCTTCAATTCAATTTGGCCATACAGTCCCAGTAGCAATTCAAGATGAGCTAAGACGGCTTACAGGAATTGATAATATTGGAGGAATGGGAAAATATTTAGGCCTCCCTGAAAGCTTGGGTGGAGCCAAAACAAAAACTTTCAATTTTGTTGCGGAAAAACAACAAGACAGAATAAATGGTTGGACCGCAAAACTCTTATCTAAAGGGGGTAAGGAGGTATTGATAAAGTCAGTGGCATCTGCAATGTCTACATTTGTCATGTCATGTTTTCGATTACCGAAATCCATAACAACGAAAGTTACAAGTGCAGCAGCCCGATATTGGTGGAGCTCGAACGGCCAACAAAAAGGAATACATTGGTTAGCCTGGAAGAAAATGTGTCGACATAAGACCGCTGGGGGTATGGGTTTTCGATCAATAGAGGACTTTAATACGGCACTACTCGCAAAGCAACTCTGGCGATTATTGGATAAACCGGACTCATTATTTGCAAGGGTCTTCAAAGGAAGATATTATCGAAACGAAAATCCACTGGATAATATTCGCTCTTACACCCCTTCTTATGGGTGGCGGAGCATGATATCGGCTAGACCTCTGGTTCAAACAGGACTAATCAAAAGAGTTGGCTCAGGGTGTTCGATCTCAGTATGGAATGACCCTTGGATACCAGCTTCTCGCCCGAGGCCAGCCACATGTAAAGGGTTTAACTACTACCCAAATCTAATGGTCAATCATCTGGTTCACCCGGTCACTCAAACTTGGAACCTAGGATTGATTAGTGCCATCATTGATCCAGTAGATGTGGAAATCATTCGCGGAATACCCACAAGTCGTGTCTATCGACCCGATACACTAGGATGGCACTTCACGAAATCAGGTAGATATACGGTTAAATCTGGATACCAGGTAGAACAACAAAAATCAGAGGATAGTATGGAAATTTACTATGGTCCAGAACTAAAGCCACTGCAGGCACACATCTGGAAACTAAGGTGCTCACCAAAATTGAAACATTTCATTTGGCAAGCACTATCGGGCTGTTTACCAGTACTGGCAAACATAAAGAAGCGAGGAATAAACTGTGACACATTGTGCGCTCGTTGTGGAACGGAATAAGAAACCATAAATCATGTTCTATTTGAATGCCCTCCGGCAAGGTAGATCTGGGCTCTCTCAAAGATCCCAACACCCTTGGATGTCTTTCCAATCTCATCGGTTTATGCAAACTTTGATCATCTATTTTGGAGAATCCCCCAGGAATATAAAACAACAGATTTTGCATGGATCTTGTGGTACATTTGGAAAGCAAGAAACGATAAAGTATATTCAAATATTGACATAGATGCACAAATAACTTTGAAGATCGCGGAAACAGAAGCAAGAATCTGGGACGAAACACAAAAGGAGGAGGAACAGGTTGAAAATAATATCAGAATTATGGATCGAGTTATCTCGCAGTATGCAGGATGGAGATGTTTTACTGATGGATCCTGGACAGAAGCGGATAAAGCTTCCGGTTTAGGTTGGTATTTGTGCAAAAAAGGCGATGCAAAGGTTGTTATGGGTGCAAGAAATGTCAGGCGAAGCTTATCTCCGCTACATGCAGAGCTGGAAGCCCTCATTTAGGCGATGCATTGTATGATAACAAACAACAAGATGGAGGTAGCGTTCGTCACAGACTGCTCCGAGTTGGTGAAGATGGTGTCTATACCAGAGGAGTGGCCAGCGTTTGGATTACACCTAGAAGTATTTGAGAGGAGTAAAGGGGTTTTCACTTTCTTCTCTATCTCCCTTATTCCACGAGCGAATAATATGAAAGCAGATCTCCTAGCACGCAGTGTTCGAGTCTACCCTCAAGACATGATCTATGTAAATTCAGTACCTCCAAACTGGACTTCTATGTCCTCGTAGGTACTTAGGTTGTTGACCAAAAAAAAAAATGAGATGAAAAGAATGAAAAAAAACGAAGTAGAAAATAATGAAATTAAATAAGTAGAAACTATCAAATCCAGAAAAGAGTCAGAGAACGAAAGTAAATGTAGGATCCACAAAATATCTGGTAATTTAGTGAGATATTTTAGGCAAAGAAAGTGTAGACGAATGTATGGTCGGCAAACAATGATCAAAGAAGTGATCAGAAGTGATCAGAATGATCTTCTGAACTTCCCCGGATGCAGTCAAACATCTAAAGTCTTTTGCTCGAGAGCTTTTTCAGAAGTATAAACTATTGTGTTCTTAGTAAAAGGCGTCCCCCTTTCTCCATGGAAAGAAGGGTTTATTATCAAAGAATGCTTGTTCCGGACAGTAAGATCCAGGTCATATATTCACGTGTGGTGTTGAATGTTGTATTGTTGGCTCAGCCCTTTGTACGGGGTACTAGAGAGTCTTTCTTGTGACTTTGTCCAGCTGTCAAACGGCTCTGTTGATGATGCAATACTTTTACACTTCCCGATGGATCTTTTGCTGTTGGGCCAGGTTGCTATACTTCATCTCCTTACTTCCTACTAGCTCGCTATGAACCAATTGTTTTAGGAAAAAGTAACCATATTTATAACTTGTCCCTATTATATCTTATATTTCGGCTACTTAGCCTTATAGTCTCACATTTTCTTTTAGTGGCACGCCCTCAGGTCTAGACTGTCAAGTGATCAGTAACTAATCTACTACAGGTGGTATCGATCACCTGATTTCTATTTCTCAGGAGAACTTATTTATCCATCACAAATTATATGAATTGAAGAATAATAAGAATATAAATTGATAAACAAAAAAAGGAAACCAACAGTTTGAATAAGTCAACTATGTAAAAATCAACTAATAAAAATATCAATTGATAGCTGTAGAATAAGTCGATGGAGAAGAAAATCAATGGACATAAGTGAAATTTTAAGTCGACATTTTCAAAAATTAATCTTATTACTAAATCAACAAAAATAATGTAAATTTACTAAAAATAAAATCAAGCGGCAGTTCAATGTCCTCAAATCAATATTAATAGATAATAGTTAATTAAAATAATTATTTTAAAAAAATTAAAATAATTATTTTAAAATTTTATTTGAATTTAAGTTATAAGATCAAACTATTTTATAAAAATAAGAATTTGATAATTATTCCAATTATAATAATTATTTTATTTAAAAAAAATTAATGAAGAATTTAAATTATAGAATCTCAAATTACATATTTTAGACTATATTATGAATTTAATTTTATTTTAAATACTGATTAATTAAGATAATAACTTTTAATAATAAATAATGTATTTATTTAATTTTTAATTTTACAAAAATACTTGTCAAAGTACTATAAAATTAAGTTATTTTTCAAATATCTAATAAGATTTGGGATATTTATCAAAATCTCTCTGTAAAGAAATAAATAAAGTATTTCTTTAACATAAAGGTTCTCAATTAATTTATTTAATATAATTTTAGAGATGTGGGATCTCCTGGCATTTTCTAATAGTATAAAGAGAGAGTTCCTCTCTCAGGCAAGCCTAAAGTCTCAAATAAACATATCCAAAATAGTTAAAAGAAAAAGATAAGTTAAAATGGTAGAAGTTTATGAGTTATGGATTGTGATAGTTTCACTCATAGTGGTCAAGCTATCTCATTGGATCTATCAATGGAGGAACCCAAGGTGTAATGGAAAACTTCCTCCAGGGTCAATGGGTTTTCCGATCATGGGAGAGACTTTTCAGTTCATGAAGCCTCATGACGCTCTTCAGTTTTCAGCATTCGTCAAGGAGAGAATCCTCAGGTTCTTCTCCTAATTTACTTTTTTTTTTTTAACATATCTCCTAATTTACTTGCATGGATTAACTTCTCATTTGCATGTTTAGATTTATTTTTCTTATTGATTTTTAACTTATTTAAGTTACGTTAAGACTTTGCTTTGTCCCTTTTTTGTGAAAATATAGATATGGACCAGTTTTCCGGACAAGCTTATTTGGAGGCAATGCTATAATGTCGATGGATAATGAATTGAACATGGAGATAGCAAAGACAACTCATATTCCTGGTGTCCCGAAGAGCATAACACGACTATTTGGCGAAAACAACTTGTTTGTGCAGAGCATAGAATCCCATAAACATGTCCGAAGCTTGACATTCCAGATGTTGGGTTCAGACGGTTTAAGAATAAGAACTATGAAAGACATCGATCTATTGTCTCACAAACACATGGAGGAAGGAGCTAGGAAAGGCTTCCTTGACGTCAAAGAAACATTAAGCACGGTAAAAAAAAAAAAAGTCAATCATTTCGTGTTGTCTTTATCTTTTGGCAATATTATAATCAACTAGATAGGGTATATCAAAAGTATTCGTATCATTAAAAGTATTTAGCAATACAGATCTTAATTGAATGCCTTGCAAAGAAAGTTATGGGCGATATAGAACCAGGATCAGCGAAAGAACTCGCACTCTGTTGGAGAAATTTTCCCAGTGGCTGGTTTCGGTTACCTTTCAACTTTCCTGGAATGGGTGTCTATAATATGATGAAGGTAAGTATTTTCAGTAACCTTATTAGCAATATATATATGCATAAGCTTAATGATGGAGGTCGTGATGGTATTGTTTCGTGGCAGGCGAGAAAGAGGATGATGAAATTACTTAAGGAGGCAGTGTTGAAGAAGATAACATCAGGAGAGGAGCTCGGAGAGTTCTTTAAGATCATATATGGAGAAAAAGATACGATGAGTGTAGATAAAGCGATCGAGTACATATATACCTTCTTTCTGATTGCTAACGAAACAACTCCCCGAATTCTTGCGGCTACAGTAAAGCTCATAAGCAAGAACCCTAAAGTCATGGAAGAGCTGCAGAGAGAGCATGCGGAAATTTTCCGGGGTAAGAAAGATAAAGAGGCCAGCCTAACTTGGGAAGACTACAAATCCATGACTTTCACCCATATGGTTAGTTTGAGCCAAAAATTATATATACCATTCGATGACAAAAATGATGTATATACACTTACACATCAATAATCACCACATTATTAATTTATAGAGGTTTGATTATATATATATATATATGATATAGAATATTTAACATTCTGCTCACTGTCAATTGGTTTTACTTAAAATCCGAAGAATTTTTTTCAATTAGTTCACACAAATACGGTGTATGTTTCAGGTGATCAATGAGTCTCTTAGAATCACAAGCACGGTGCCTGTAGTGCTTAGAACACCTGATCATGACATCCAAGTAGGTGATAACACAATTCCAGCTGGTTGGATCTTCATGGGCTATTCTAGTGTCCACTTCAATCCCGAAAAGTATGAGGATCCTTTAGTATTTAATCCATGGCGCTGGAAGGTGATTTAAATCTCATTTATCATTCTTTACTTATCTACTCCCATATTCCACTAATCAATTTCAGAAGCTTTTAACATATTTTAAACTAAATTAACAGGGAAAAGATTTGAGCGCGTTGGTCTCCAAGAATTACATTCCATTTGGCGCTGGCCCTAGACTCTGTGTAGGGGCTTACTTCGCTAAGCTGATGATGGCCATTTTTATTCACTATTTGTGTAGATACAGGTTAATTTTTATCACCTAATAAATGACTCATGATTCAATTTGATTTTCTTCTAATTAAACAGTCAAAGTAACTTGCATATATACCTATTGTCTGCAGGTGGTCAATGAAGGCAGAGATCACAGTAACTCGAAGCTATGTGCTTATGTTTCCGCATGGATGTGATGTTCAAATCTCAGAAGATACCAAAGTGGATAACTAAGTTGGCTGCTTATTAGAGTGGTTATATTCCATTTGAAGTAGTTGGTCATCAGGTTGTATGTTTCTATTGAATAAATAAAGTAAGCAATACAGATGGTTAGATTGTCCTTGTTATGGTAATTCGAAGATCAATCTTACAATATGAAAGATGTTGCTTTATTAAATAAATATGATACAAATACAAATGTGTAATAAACAAAAACTTGATGTTTCTTCTTTAATCCAAGTATTAACAACTTGCAGAATGATAAAGACGGGCAATCTCCTAAGACAGAATTTCATCCCTACATAGTTTCTCGGACGTCTATTTTATAGGATACAAGTACACCTTACAGAATTCCTAGCAAATTGTATCATGTTTCTCAGATTGCAACATATAGCTGCCCATGAAAAAACACAGGATGAGATAAATACAAACCTACTTCTAATAACGACTGTCCCTGACTTTTGTTGATGGTTATAGCGAATGCAACTGCCAACGGTAACTGTTTACGTCAGGAAATCTTGCATCAGATGGAGTGATCAGCAATCGTAGAATAATAAATTTGTCTCCAGCTTTATCTCTGGTAATAATTCTTGCTTCTATCATGAAATCCGCCATTTGTGTAATCTGAAGTCTCGTTTCATTCATCAATCCCGCTTTACGATCAATATTCCTAAGCAGTATCACAGGACACCCTATTTTCAATGTAATACAATGATTGCGAAGTCCACCAACTTTTATACTGTTTAAAAACTCAGGAGTAAAAGCGAGATTTTGCAATGCTCCGGAGTCAGCAGGATCTATAGTATCAGAACTCAGATATACTTTTGACTCACCTGTGTTAATTAGTTCAAAATATTGATATAAGTAAGAATAAAATTTCAAAAACAAACCAAAAAACACAATCATATATGATGAACATATTGTAGTTACCAGTTATCTTCGACAACATATGTTCATTTCTATTGTTCACATCTTCATTGGTTGGACAAAGTATTGCTCTTTCTTGCCAAAATTTGGCCTCTTTTTCCTCCTGAACCGATGTTTGTTCTCTGTAAATTTGTGTACATATTGCTTCGATTGGATCATGTACGTCCGTTATAAGGAACTCCTCAGGAATATTAATCATTGCTTCACCGTCATTTAGCTCAGCAATTTTACCTTCGCCAACATCTAAAATCCATTCAGAAAATTCCTTAAATTCATTTGTTTGCTCAACACTCAAGTCACTTGCCAGTAACCTCATGTTTTTCGTTAGCTTCATAATTTTGCAATAATCCCAGATATAAGATGCATTCAATGCATTATTAGCAACATCTCCCCTTGAAGCACCATGCATGACAGGTATAATCTACCTGAAATCTCCACCAAATACAACAAATTTCCCACCGAAAACACCTCGTTCTTCATTCTGCATGATGTCAGATAAACTTTTATCTAACGATTCAAAGCAGTATTTACTCATCATAGGTGCTTCATCCCAAATAATAAGAGATGCTTCTTCTATCAAATTCGCAACTTCTGAACCACGTATCATCGAACATGTAGTATATTTATCTGGGTTAATAGGTATACCAAACCGTGAATGAGCTGTCCGACCTCCTTGTAACAACAAAGATGCGATTCTACTTGATGCAACGTTTAGCACAATATCACCCTTACATCTTATTTCAGCAGACAAAAGAGACCAAAGGAAATTTTTGCCAGTACCTCCAAATCCATATACAAAAAAAAGCCTCCTTTTTTGTTCTCAACTGCTTCAATAATCCCATCATAAATCTTCCTTTGCTCAGTGGTAAGCTTCACAATGTGTCTATCATATATTTCTTTTAATGCCTGTCTATCATAAATTTTTTCATCAATTATTAAGAAATTATCGTTGTTAAGCCCATCTTTTAGAGGCTTAGGCATTGTTGTATAGAATTGCAAAGAACTATTGTGAAATTTCAAGATCTACTCAATCTCCAAAAGAGCGAACTTTTTTTTATCAGCATCATCCAATATAAGACCTGCAAAACATGTATATTATATGTATAATGAGTTTATTAATCAGTAACAAATTAAACAATGCATTACGGTTTAACACAATACCGTTAAAGATGCAATAAAATAAATAAGAAAACGGTAGGGAATTTATCAAACATGGCCGATTACAATGCTGTCGCCGCATGTATTCAATATCTTCTGACAATACTTCCCAGGTTTGTTCCCAAACATATTCAGGCCGAGACAAACTACCAGATGCAAGCATTATAACAAATAATCGTCTTAAAAATGATCCGGTAGCAGTAAAACTCATTCTAATAATATCAAATATAGTCCTGGTCATCTTCTAACAACCCTCTAGCATAACATGCTTCCTTGAAAGAAGCGTATACCATCAATGTAGGATTTGATGTCATCAAAAGATTTTGGACCCCTGACAACATTAAGAAGAATCCTCAAATAATAAACTTCTTCTAGTTTACGTGGAACATAAGTAATCCTTCCAATAGCAAAACCTCTTTCCCTTAGTTTAAACATCCGAAGTGATTTATCCCACGTATAGTAAACAGGGATTTCTCCATACGTGAGTGTTTTACATTTACCGCATTTTTTGTTCAACTCAAACCAAGCCGTCATCTTTGTGTTCTTTACAACTTCACTATGGATAACCATTTCTATCATCTCATCGCCCTTGAAATATACCAACTGTCTGGTAAGTGAAATGAAAGGTGTTCAACGGGGGTTGTACGATTGTGGATTGAATTTTTTAAGATTCGCCATGCAGATTCACACGCAGATACATATCTGTATAATAAAATAGTATGTTAGAAGTAAAAAACTAACGATGTTCAATTAAATATATAGTTTTTATTCTGATAGTAGTTCAAATATAAATGTTTACAACGAACCTGCAGTCGAAGAAGTCTTTAATCTCATTTTTCTTCTTTGCTTGACATTCATGTGTGGAATCACAATGACTGTTATCTCCTCCATCAGCTTTCACATTCTGTGCTTGCGAAGGCTCAATCACAAACGTAACACGATCAAACCCTTTATTTATATACTTAAATAAGTATTTAATGGAAGAAGCTTGGTTGCACCACTCAACATTGATATGAGCTTGATACGAAGAGACAACTTCTTGTTATAGGGTATCACAAATCTATTATCACATCTGTATCCATTTTTGTCAACGTAATCCTTGAGCTGTGACCTCCTCCTATACAAAGGAAAACCTTCTTTATTAATAGCTGTCGTCTCAACATGTTTTTTAGGATACATTTTTGTACAAATCTCTTGAGACATGCATGGTGATCTTGGATTAATATCACCGCATGGACCATGAATCATCATTTCTGAAACAATTCCATAAAGCTCTGACTCTTTATATCGGTCGGGTATCTCAGCTGATATAACATTGTCGATTTTTTCAGGATGAATTTTTGAAGTTGGATCTAAAAACAATAGAATATGTGCATGCGGTAGACCTCTCTTCTGAAACTCTATGGTGTACATGGCTGAAATTACAAAAATATATATCAATGAATACACTGTAGAATATTGATATTACAAATGTTAATATCAAAGAATGTCAAAGTTACTAACCAGAAAAAACTTTTCCTATACCGAGTCTGTTATCAGCAAAATCCATCATCATAGAATCTAGCTTCATTTTGAACACCCGATAAATTATATCTGGTCTATCATCAAAACTGAGTTTCCGCTCGTTCACATACCTTGTGATTTCTGGCCACTTTGGATTACATGTAAAGGTGATGAAAAGATCAGGGTACCCAAAATGTTTACATATAGACATTGCATCCAAGTAGCATTGAGTCATATATCGAGGTCCACCAGTAATTAAAGGAAGCGAATACGTTTTTCTACCTTGATCACGCAAATTCTTTTTACCTTTATTTGATGCATCTTCTATTGAATCAAGATTTTCAGATCTGAGTGATGTGATTTTTGTCAAGATATCCGACACGATTTGCCTCTATCATAGTAAAAACATCAACCGGAAACTGCTGGAATAACCTCTTAGCCCGCAGCAAAGTGTGACATTCACTCTTTTGCTACTGTATACGAAATGCAAAAACTGTCTCATGCTAATATATTCTCGTTTCCGTTTCTTCTTCCCAGTCTTTGCAAAGCATTTTTCAATGCGAATATGGAAACCGTCTTCACCATACGGAAAAATCAAAGGATACCGTAGAGCAATGCATGAAGGATAAATTTCACTAATCCTTATCAGCTTGCCGCATTATTTCTGCAATATTATATCACGCTTACACATATCCTCATTTAGATCACCAGGGATCAACACAGCCACTTCAGATGCAGTAGGCATATTATATATCCTTGAGTCTTTCTGGCGATTATTTATAAGTCTCATATGAAGCTCCTCGTTGGGATCCATTTTCAATCTGTTTCTAGCAGCTCGAAAATTCTTCACGTAAGGGTTCACCTTATCTAACATCTTAATCAGCCTATCAATGAATTCATTCCTGAATTGTTTACGTTTAGACACCTTCATTGGATTTTTACTTTTGCTGCAAGAAAAATATATTATTATTAAAATAAAGTAATAATAAATATGAATTCAATCATTACTTTTACCTCATAATGATCAAACGATTTTGTACTTCTTCATCGGTATCAACAATAAATAACTGATAAAACTTTGCAACATCACCAGGTTTAGGGAGCATACTTCCCATCAGATGATGATTCTCTCCGTTAAGCTGGAACATTGATGGTCCACGCCCCTTTTTGATAGACCTAACTACTTTACCTCCAATAGAAGTCATTGGAAATAGCATATTGTAGGGTCTAACATTATCGCGAAAATGTTTGCTTAGATCATCGGCAGATGTAAAAAGATGCATTAATTCCTCTGGAGAATCTCGAAGGTATTGTAGCTTTACTTGACCTTGCGAACAGCACAAAGAAAATATAGGATTCTTTGCTCTTCTTCTTTTGTTTAAACGTTCACCATACCAGAAAATTGCACCACAATAATTACACTCATA